CAGCTGAAAGCGGATGATTACCAATGTCAAATTCGATATTAAGAGACACTTATGAGTATCTAAACTTAAAAAAAAAAAAAATTAAAAATAATATGGACCGATGAAGCTAAATTTTCTAGAGAAGGTATTTTTAATAGAAGAAATCAACACTTTTGGGCTAATCAAAATCCACATGCAGTCAAGGAAAAAAAGATCCCAAACCCCCAGTGGCAACAAAATAGGTTGTGACAGTATTTTTTCTACTACTTTACTTAAAGTACTCACTTTATTAAAATTTTACTTCACACACTAGTGCGTAAAGTAATGTCAATGACAGATGTCGACACTCTGTCAATTTAGTATTTTTCTGGCAAATTATTTCACGCACTAGTGCGTGAAGTATTTGTCTAAATTTATTTTTGTCACATATTTTATTGATAGTGGAATAAATGTTATATGCAATAAGTGTGTACAGTACCTTTTTTTACTCATGTGATTGTCGCACGTCACATTCGTGAAAAAAAAATTCACTCAACACACTTGTTACTGCTATTTAATAAGACATAATTTTTAAATAATCCAATTCTAACAGAAATTTGCCTGTATTTCCGAAACCTTACTATTTAGGTATAGGAACATGATACATCATTTGTAAGGGATTTTAATTGGCTTTCATAATATTTTATAATATACAGGGTGTTCTATTTAAAAAAGTGCACTTTTCATCTTTTTTGTACCTGGCAGCACAATTACTAATTTTGACCAACCCTGTATAATGTAGAACAAATGTTCTTGTTCAAAAGTAATATGCAGGACCTCCCTAAGTTATATCCAAAATTTAAACTTTCTACGAGTCTCAGGGACAGTATCATACAAAATGATCAGAAAGTAATAGCGGAGCGAAAAATGCAATAATATACAGGGTGTTTCATTTAAATTTCAAAGTTCATATTACTTTTTGGTATAAGCGGCAACGTCGCATCATTGAAATTATTTTAGAATGATAGATCAGGAGCAATTACTTGGGCATGCAAATTTTCAAAAATATCCAACATTCCGTGTTCCATAAACGTCTAACCTACCATCGACCATCAATCACCCTGTATATTAATAGTTCATTAGAAAGCTATGCTTTCGCTGATTTTAATGATACAAGGTTTGATAGGTTCATCTCTAACAGTTTTCGAGAAAAAAAATTATTTCAGTTTTTGTCATAAGAAACAATGTGTTGGAAAAGGACTTTATCTCTGTAAGGAAACTGAGAAAGGTCTCTTTCTTACACATTGTTTCTTATGACAAAAACCGAAATAATGCTTTTTCTCGAAAACTGTTAGAGATAAACCTATCAAACTTTGTATCATTAAAATCAGCAAAAGCATAGCTTTCTAATGAACTATTAATATATAGAGTGTCCTATTGAAAAAAATCGGATTTTGGTCAATATCTCGAAATCGAAGCTAGACAGAAAAAAACTGAGAACGTCACTGAATTCTGCTTGAAAAAGTGCTTCCAAAAGGTCTTTACGGAAATAAATTATTTCCATAAACAAAAAAGTTATGGAGGCTTTACAGTATTGCTCAAAGTCGAGAATCGCCCTCTAGCGTCTAAACGGTTGAAGATATCAAAATGAGGTTTGCACCAATCAAAATTTCATAAAATTTGAGAGTGGGGGGTCTATTTTTTTCTATCTCTAAAAATAAAGGGTGTTTCCATAAGAAAGTGTCCAATTTGGACCATCCTGTACACAGGGCCGTAGCTAGAGTCGAATTTGTGATAGGGCATGACAAATTTGACATAGGGCATACACTGCTTGCCCCCCCCCCCTCTTGAATTTTTTATAGGTAAACAAAATGGGGGTAATAGCGCCGACGGCAAATGTTTCAATAAATAACATATCTGGCAAACAAAATGGCGCTGATTCTCGCGCCGCTTTGGACCATTCGCACCAAGGATAATACACACTATAAGTACTACTACAGAATAGCTTATCCTTATAAGGCCTACTTAGATCAAATCTCAAGCTCCCTACCACGCCAAAGAACCAGTGATGACCTAGGCAGCGTGTCATTCCTCGACTTGACGTAGGGTGTTTGCACCACAGGTACAGTCGTGAGCATTAAAAATGGGACACCCGATTTTTCCTATTGTAGAACGGGCTCACTAGCTACACCGTCGGCAATGACAGAGATTGTCATATTTGGCAAAAAATCCGTTGTACAGAAAAGAATCATTCACCCAAAATAGCGAAAAATGACAAGACCTGTCAGTCGGGTGTCCTACTCACTTTTAATGCTCACGACTGTACCTAGCTCACGCGGGCTTTTGCTTTATGCATACTTGATTTTAGCACCGTAGTTGAAGTTGTCAATGGTGGTAGACCATATGATGGCCACGATTTCCACAAATTAGGCCGATAAACAATCCTGTGCAGTAGTGTGTATTATATCCACATACTTATACACTAATAATACGTATACCGCTAAAGTGCGACGATCGACCACCGACCAGTGTAACCTTAGACAAGAAAAGAGAGAGGACTGGTAATCCGTCAAGCCTGCGTGTTACCGGCTGGCCCAAGACCGTTTAGGCCAGTGGCGTATCACAAAATCATACGTAGTTAAAACGGTAAATGTCTAAATGGTTGATCACCACGCCAAAATTTACGATTTTTTCAGGATATACGTATTTTGGGGCGTAAATTAGGAAATAATCAGTTTATTCGCTCTTAATTAGTTTTTAGGACTTTTTAAAATCAAAATCTAGTATTTAAATGGTTTACGCCACTGGTAGATTCAAAGGATTTGACAGATCGAATTAACAAAATTATTGATTTTTCAATCGAAACATTTAAAATAGGGAATTATATTTAGTCCCGTAATTTGCTTACACCCATTATAATATGATACTTATAGGGCATGTATAAAATCTGTCCTCAAATATAAAAAAAGCGCCTGTATAATAATGGTTTTATTATGCATTGTTTATTAATTACCTGTGAAAAGATACTCCCGGCTCCTTTTTCTCGCTACGACTTTTACACTGAAAAGCACAACAATTCACCATGTCTATTAGCACAAAATTTAGTCAAATATTAAAACTTTTTAGTCACAAAATCACAAAATATCAACACTGCCACAGAAGCTTGTTTGCCACAAATAAAATGGCGGTCGGTCAATTGATGTAACAAAAGCCTAGCATTGCGTTAATCCAGTGCGTGGTATCCTCTCCCCTCCCTAATCTAAGAGTGTAACATATAGGAGGCTGCCATTTTGACCTATATTTTTAGCGTGAATTTCAAAAATGACCACTTCCACAAATTTATAAATAACATTGTTATAAATTTTGGTGTCGAATAATGTTTTCAAAATAATTATTACAGTCATCTGTAACTTTTATAGCGAATTTCATTGGGAGAGTTAGTGCGCACTGAGTGTATTCGTATCTTTTTCTACCAGCTTGTAAAAGAAAGAAATAAAAATACATTTTTTCTGCACTGGTTCTACCAATGGAATTTGCTATATTATTTCATTATTGTCAAAGCATAGGTCAAAATGGCCGATTCTTCTATCTTTTTTTATTCCGATGCGCTGAAAGATGTGCAGTCGTCTTTGAGCGGTATACGGCATTATACGGTAGTATATGTATGTGTTATTATCCTTGCATTCGCAATCTTTCGAAAGGAAAAAGTTCCTCTGTGAAAACGTCAAACACCCCGCATATTTAGGCGTTTTTGGAAACACTTATCCTCGCACTTACTCGATTTCAGGCCTATTCATTTATCTACTCTTAAATTTCCTAGAGAAACCTCAACGCATGTTGTGTTTTAAAGGTAGGGCATGATCATTTGAAAGATAGGGCATTGCCCCCCAATACCCCCCCCTGGCTACGGCCCTGCCTGTACAGTGTGTCCGAAATTCGAGTCTCTACATGGGGATTTCGCTTATTATGAGAGATACAGGGTGGCTCAATTTAGGAAAGTTTTAGGGAATTTATTGCTCATTTAGATCCTGTTGTTAAATTTGCTTCAAAGTTTTTTGTTTCCTAGAAATCCGAGAAAAACTGAAAATAGCCAATTTTGTTTTTTTATCAATAATTCATAAACCGTCAACTTTAGACTTTTCTTACTTCAACATTATTGAGACACTTTTTTGAGACGGATATTTTCGTGATTTGAAAACATTCCGATCGTCGTTTGTTTTCGAGTTATCAACCAAAACTCTCGTATTTCTTATGGCGGCCATCTTCGATTCCAACAAAATAATATCCTACGAAAAAAATCCTTTAAAATGATGTATTACAAGCTATGAAAACGTTTTGCAAGTCCTTCAAAATTACAGTTGGAACCGATATTTTGCTGAATTTGGCAACAATGCTCATAGTTATAAGAATGAAACCAAATAAGTATGATTTAATACCTAGAATCGGTATTTTTGAAGTCTTTTGGCAATTTTACTAGATAATGAAAAAATAAGTAGGTAAGGTATATTTTGCTTGGACAGGGTCCTTCTGATGAGTCCTAACAAGGACGAAACGCGTCAAGGATTGGCACGGGAAGCCTGAGTCCACTGCTCAGTGGGCCGATTCCCAAACAGGGACCGTAGTGTCCCTGTATTCACGTTGGTCATTACCTGAAAAAATCTTTCAATCAACACTGTATATTGTTCGTCGATTTTAATCTGATACTCGGACGGAATGTGAGCTGGTGGCTCCCTACATTAGAACGCCAATGGTTACCTGACGTCACACCTGTTTTTCCCATATGAAACACCCCCTCGCTCCTCATTCCGCAAGTATCAGTTAAAAATCGACGAACAATAGATTGTCTCAAGTTAAATGGACCACCCTGTATAATCTGGCAATAATTTTATTTACAAAAAGACTATAGGCATATTCCAATAGCTTTCAAACTACATCTTCGACATTCATCAGGATTTTTAAAAATATTTTGGTAAATAAAAAAGTTTCTTGAAGAAACACACAATGATTATTTGACAATTCTTTCCATTATTTTTTTGTTCCAGACTGAAAGGTTTTCTGAGTCTAGACGTAGATATTTCCCATTTAGAAGTCAACCAATGCGAAGTCAGATTACACGAAACTTCTAGCAAATGTATGACGGTCTTCCACGGATCGCACAAATGTCACAATTCCACAACAGAAGTGAGTAATTTTAATCTAAACCTAGGAATATTGAAATAAAAACTTCCTTTAATTGTTGACTTATTAAATTGAAGAGAGTGCAATTATTTTCCAGCAGCTTTACCAAAACCGTGTTTACCCTTGAAGCTGGATTTGTTGCATATATCCTTCGGGAAATTTTACGATCGGGCTTGGATAGAATTATTGTCAGAAAATATTTCAAAATTTAAATGTTTGTTTGGTTTTTAACTAAATTACTTATTTTTTTAGTGTATTTTTAAGTCTCCATTGCACGTGCCGACATGGTCAAGGGGTAGATATCAGTGTCATTGTAGAAAAGGATACTATTCTCCACACGAAAATGGAATTTTCAATGGATCTTTAGTCGAAGGTATTAATTTGCATATTTTAATTTATTGATATCATGGGGTCAGGATAATTTTCTTTGTTTTTAAATTTTAATTGAAATTAAGTAATGGAAAAAAGGTATCGATTTTGTCATTGCTTTTAACGGTTATAGGCAGAGTTTCTGTTATGACCCAGTTCAAAGCACCACTAAAAAGCCAAAGATTTTATCTTAAATGTTTGCTGTTTAAAGTGAAATAAACGTTTGCAATGAGATAAAACTAATATACAGACTGAAATGGGTTGGGAGTTTTTTAAAAATATTTGAAACTTTCCAATTGTCAACTAGAATTATTAGCTTAAATGTATCCTAAACTAAATTACCACATGCCAACTAGAAGATATAAAGCAGTGAATATCAACTTTTCATCAATCAATTAACATTTTCAGTTGCTTGGGAAGAACATTTAGAAAATTCCAGCGACTCGTGGCAATCGATATTCCAATGTCTCAGATGCGCACCAGGATGTCATTTTTGTACAGATCCGTCTCCCTGCTTAGCTACATATCATTGGCCTTTCAGGTAAATAGAAAATACTTATTAAAAATCATTCATAATTTGATTTTGTTTTGCAGAATCACTCTATTAACTGTCAGTGTTAGTTGTGTCTTTAGTACTGTGGTATTGAACTGTTACATGTTCAAATATCGCAAATTGAAAGTATTCAAAGTTGCCAGTCCGATTTTTCTCAGTATTACTTTACTAGGATGCGCTACTATGTACCTTGAAGTAAGTATTGCAATGTCAATTTTGCATTTATATCGAATTTCCATCCAATAGTCATCAACATGCAAATGAGATTTGTACGTGTCAATTACCTATCACGCGAATGATTTTTTGATTTCAAATATACCACCAAAACCAATAATTTTTCATCACACGTTTATTTGATTGAAAACAGCAATTTCCATTCTATTTGGAAGTTTATTGTTTTTGTTGGAGATTTTATTTTGTTACCAAATTAAATGTTTTTTGTTACAATACAAACATTATTCTCCATAATTTATTATTTAATTTTTTAGATGGCTGCAATATTTCCTGTATTAGATATGTATTCGTGCATAGCCACAAAATGGTCAAGGCATTTAGGATTTTGCGTTACTTATACAGCATTATTAATGAAAACTTGGAGGTGAGTTTCAATATTTCCTTATTATTAATGCATGAAATTTCAATTTGAAATTTATTAAATACTGTTACAAGTTAGAATCGATAATTCTTGATAATTTCTTCAAATTTTTTCGGATTTGTTTTTGAATTATGATGAACAGTGGTTTAATAGAGCTTATTTTGAAATTTAAAAAACTTCTTTTTCTACTGACGTTTCATAAATACGCCTAAAATCTGTTTTATAATGAATTTCATTATGATACAGATTTTTCAGCCACTGGAATCGAGTATTTTGAAGATGAACAATGTTTATATAAAAATAACAGACTTGCTTTGGAATTTTGGATTATTTCTATTAGTATTTACCAGAAGAAACAACAAAAAATTAATAAATCGGGTGCGAAATTTATGCCCAAATGACGTCAAGATCTTAATTTTTGAAATTGTCAAGTTGTCAACAATTGTCACCAGTTGAAAAGTTTACTATTCTTATAAAATAAATAGGTATTTTTTTCGTTTATTAACGCAAATAAAAAAAATAGTGTATGCAACTCTCATGTAATGGCCATTAATACACTCGCATGTTATATATGTTATATATCCTACAACATGCTCGTGTATTAATGGCTATCGTTACATGATCATTGCATAATATACTATTTCATTTGAACCTCCTTGTACTGAGTGATCCTACTTGGACATTTTCAATAGGAAATTATCAATTTCTGATACAATCTTTTTTAAAATGATAATTGGGGACCCCCCAAACTCCTTACACTAAATTTACGTTGGGCTCTTATGTCGTTTCTTTCTCCACGTTTTAGAAAACAACATTTCCTATCGTTTTGGGATGAGAGGTAAGTAGGTAATGTTGTTTTTTAAAACATGGAGGAAGAAACGACATAAAAGCTCTTAAAAGGCCATTAAACAAATAATATCTTAAAATAAAGTCCTGTTTTGAAATTTGTTAAAATTGGGGTTTCACTTCACTCCATACCTTCCGGTTTTCTCCTTATATAAATGGGTAGCTTTAACCCTTGAGGGCTGTACATACAGTGTGTTTTGGTATAATATTTGGATAAGTTTATAGGTTAGTAGTAAAACGCCCCAAGTACTCTATGTAATTGGTTAGATGGTAAATGGCGAGCGCTATATTGATGGTGTTTATTTCCTTGGAGCTGCTACCTATAAAATTGTGGAGGGTCTATTCGCAAAGGAGAGAAACAAACTATTGAGGTTTATTAAATTATATTTTATTATACAAAAAACCAAAAATTAAAATAAGCAAAATATCTTTCAATTCTTAAAAAAGTCCTTTACTGACTGCTTCTGCAAAATCAAAATAATTATTTGTTTATTAATATGGGTATTACTAACTTATTCTTATAAAAACCTTACAATAATTTCTATACATGAAAAATAAAAACCCTAATTCAAAACTTCAGCAATTAAGATTATCAATGTTTCTTCATGAACAACAAGTTCCATTTCGAAACTTCCCATTTATATATAATAGTTTATTTAAATCAGAATAATTACTATTTTCGGATTCCTAGCCACCAAACACAATTATTAATTTCTTATTAGATTCGTTACTATAGCCCTTAAACTTCAATTTGGACAATCCAATTCAAAATTCTTTAATAATTCCTATTCAAAATCGATACTTGTCAAGTGCATTATAAATTCCCCTTTTAATTCTTTGCAAAATTAATTAAAATGTCATTATACTCGAAGGCAATTAAATTTATGCAATAATATTCCATAGTCAAAACACTCGAGTTATTATTATTTATGCAATAAAGTTCCAAAGTTAATTCACTTCATAGTCATTCATCATTTATAAAATCAAAAATTTTACTAGTCAAAATCACTCAAGTTTTTAGGCATTAAAAGTGATTGTCAATTCACTTCTTATCATTCAGAATCATTGTTAAAAGTCAGAAAACAATAATAATCACTAAAGTACTTACATATAAATTGTCACTCGATAAAATACTTAAGTAATTACTCAAAATTTTCTAGAGCTCGCACATAATATTGAACGCCTTTAAATGTTTTTTCTTTCACAATTTTCTGTACTTTTTCTCAGTTAAATTAAACCCGAGGCAAAAATAAAAGAATCTCTTTGCGAATTTTTATCCTCAAACTGGACTGAACTGCGAACTGATCTGACAACTGACTTTCACTTCTAAAACCGCCTGTTTTATATTTTTCGATTCCCCCCCAAAGTATTATTAATTATCCACCAAAATTGTCAATAGGCGGTCGTTTGACCATCAATAAGTCAATTCCATTGGCCGACCTAGATATTATCAAAAAATAATGATGCAATCATTTGAAATTTTTGTCATTTTTATTTGTTTAAAATCGAATAATTATGTCGCAATTTCCTGATTTATAGGGGTCAAAAATTTTGGTTTAAGAATGTGAGGGCAACACAAAGAAAGCCGACACACGTGTGCCATAAATCATTGATTTAATTACTATGGCCTCGCTTTTAATATTTTTAGGAATTTAGATGATGGCACAGGCTTGGTGACGAAATACCTAATATAATTTTGAACGTATTTGGGGTCAACGCTAATTTTCATTTTCAATTTATTGATACTGATTTGAAATACCTACAGGAAATTCAGTTTTTGATTATTTGATTACATTTAATTTTTACAGTAAAGACATTGTTAATATCGGGTCTAATTTCCGGATCATCACAGGTTTAAATCTTTTTTCAGATTCGAGGGTGACCATTGAGATATCGGAAACTATTAGAGATACGAGGTTGGTTAAATTATGGTAAAGTTGCGCAATTTTATGACCAATAAAATGCCGTTTCGAAATATTCCGAATACTTCCGAAGATATTCGGAAAAAAACGGAATTTTGCAAGATCATTTTTATTTTTTCTTGAATGTAAATATTTGAAGAGCAATTTTAAAATAAATATCACTTGATCATTGTCACTTTTTCCCCTTTACAAGATGTCGCTACCAAATTTCAGACTCGACGTTCCGTCTTTGGGCAGCCATCATCAACTTTATTTTTCTAACTACGGCCCCTTATTTTTTATTTGAGATTTTAAGAACTTTTGATGTCTCAAAACCTATGACATATCGTATGTTGATGATGGTCGCCCAAAGACATCGAATCTGACATTTTATAGCAACAACTTGTAAAAGGGAAAAAGTGACAATGATGAAGTGACATTTATTTTAAAACTAGCTAATGACCCGCTGCGTTGCCGGCGTGAAAATACATTTTGAAATAATACACTTTTTTTCAAATTTTGTCGTTGATTTTCTATTTATTTTATTTTTTTTATTTTTTTATCCGATACCAGAGTCGCTTGTCAGTGAGTTCAGTGACGCATTTTAAGCACTCCAGAGCTGCTCTAGAGCGCCCCGGGCTGTTAATAGGCGTTCCAGTGTATCAGAGTGTTCCGCGCAACCGATCTTTTTTTTTCGGGATAAAAAATAGCCTATATCACTCTCCTCTATAGCCGAATTCGATTGACCGGATTAGATCCATCCTGGTTCAATTTAAGTGAACCACACTGTGTTCGATTCAAGCTGGATCAGTGCACCCTCATCAACAAAAAAATGATCTAGATCAGAAGAAGTTCACTTAAATTGAACCCAAATCGATCTAATCTGGGTCAATCGGATTCAGCTTATATAGAGATGCGTGGTATTAAATTCAAGATCAGTCCAGCCGTTCTCGAATTCAAAAAATAATAAAGTTACGTCGGTTGAATGGCAAGTCTAAATAAATGAAATATGGCAACGTTGTTTCATGCTGTCAAAAAAAAGTTGGGTTATGTTGTTATGTAATGTGAATGAGTTTGTTTATAATTAAATTAATGATTAAATCAAAATTAATTTCTTTTCCCGAAATGCGTAACCTATCCACAAACGTTCCTTAGGATGACCATAACAACCTACCAAAGTTTCATCGTAATCGGATAATTGGTGTAGGAGCGCATAGCCGAATACTCAGCAAACATTGATTTTTATATACAGGGTGTCCGTAAAATCAACGATAATACTGAAAGGGCTGATGGAGCAACTCATTAGCGTCCAGAAAAACCTAATATGACCTTAGTAAAAAATCAATGGTTTCCGAGATATTGTCACTTTAATAAAATTCGTTAAAATCGTCCTCTTTGATCAGATTTTCGAGTGTCACCTTAAAATTTTCATTATTCTTTAATTCTGAATTCAGTTTTGCAATGGTAAATAGACATTTCATTTGTCATAGACCTACATTAAATGTCAAAGTTCAAAACATACTAAAAAATCTTTTCAAAGTGAATACTTCTCAGATTTCATTTTAAATAGTATATTGTGTATTTAGGTGGAAAAGTGACACATTCTCAGCCGACGGTGTAAGTTGACACCGAAGGCCGAGAATGTGCTTTTCCACCGAAATACACATACTATTTTTTCTGCTATCGGTTAAATACCTGTTAAATGTTTGTCTTTCAGTTCCAATTATCCAGCAATACGAGAATCACTTTCCCGGCCTAGGCCGGAAAAGTGTTTCCCGTATTGTTATTCATTGATTTCTTAGCAACTATTGAAACATAATTCAAATACCAGAATATTGAGTTTTGCGACCTGTCAACCGGTCAAAAATGCTGACATTTCTTGTCAATCGCAGAAAAAAGATTTTTAGTAAATGTTCTGAACTTTGACTTTTAATATTGGTCTATGACAAATGAAATGTTTATTCACCATTGCAAAACTGAATTCAGAATCTAAAAATTATGAAGGTGACACTCGAAAATTTTACCCAAGAGGACGATTTTAGCAAATTTTATTAAAGTGTCCAATATAGCAGAAACCATCGATTTTTTACTAAGGACATAATATGTTTTTTCTGAATGTTAATGAGTTGCTGCATCAGCCCTTTCAGTATTATCGTTGACTTTCTGGACACCCTGTATATAGATTGCTCTTCAAATAGACTCAGGAAAAAATAAAAATAATTTTGCGAAATTTCGGTTTTTCCCGAATATCTTCGG